TGCTTGAGGTTTTAGAAATAGATTTAAACAGTTTATCTACTAATAAATTTGTTAAATCTTCGAGATTAGGTTAATGTGACAAATTTGAGTTATAAGATTTCGACTTTAGATCTCATCCTATAACGCAATCAGATGGATAATTATAAGGATCGGAGTACTAAAAAAAAATTATAAGGATCGAATGGATAAACATAGCAATCTTAAAACACGTAATTAAACTATTGCATAATGAACGTTGCAATCTTAATTCATATTAATGACCACCAAATAAGTTCATCTATCCACAAACACTAAAATATTCACGTTCGGGATATGCTGAGATTTTAAAAGGAAAAAAAAAAAAACCAAAAGGGTAAATAATTTTTCGTTTATTCTAAAAAGATTTTGAGAGAGAGAGAGAAATTAAGAAGCAATAAACCCTTTTTGGGTAATTATTCCTTTATTATTATTATTTATTCCTATTTATTATTTAGGTGGGTATGGTCCAGCAGTCTACTCCCACTGGGGCTTCCTATATATTGGGCATTATAATTTGTAGCCAATTCGGAAAAAGGAAAAATGAAACCGACTCCACTGGGGATCGAACCCAGAATCTCTGGTTCCGTAGACCAGCGCCTTATCCATTGGGCCATGGAGTCCTTGTTGTTTAGAATTACACACAAATAAAATCTAATCTATTTTTTTAAAACAGTGACTTCTATTTGTTTTCTGAACCACCACTGGACAGCTGTCAACCAATAGGATTCGTCGTCCAAAGCTACTAAGTTTCTCGTCTATAACGAACAATAAAAGCCATTCCAAATGGTTCCAACTTCTAATAACTGAATACCAAATTTTCAAATATAAAAATATGTATATATAAATGTTTCACCCATTTGGTTACACTATGAAAGAAGCAACAAACTTAGAAACTTTCACGCTTTCATCAAACCACTCCAAAACACTTGTACCATATGGCTAATAAGCTCGTCATATTCACAACCTCTTCTGCTCTTCTTCTCGCCTTAGTTGCAGTTGCAGTTGCAGCAGATGATTCTATGGCTGGCATGTACATGCCCCCATCCCCCTCACAATCGCCACTGCCACCGCCATCCCTCGGCTCCAACACCGGCTTTACCAGTCCATCGTTGGCACTTGGCCTCCTGCTTATCCTTCTTACCATCTTCATTGTCAAGGAAAGAATCTGAGATATTTCATGTTCCATAGCTCTCTTACTTTTCTGTTGCCTTCAGGCTCTGGGTGTTCCTTGTCTCTTTGGGTTTTGTTATCCTTCTCCTCTTCACCTGATTATCAGGCTTTTTTTGTTGACATGTTATAATAATATTCCACAATCCAAATGAGTTATTTGGGACAAACATCAACTAACGAAACTGAAAGCAAACTGTCTTGTGATAACTAAGAACAATCATATTTTATACCATGCCAATCTGTTCAGACCCGAGAACGGGTTTCAAAACAATATTAATGTTGAACATAACATTCCAGGACCTAGAACTAAAATAATTCCCCTATTCAAGATGCAGAACAGGGAAACAAAAACTGAGTTACAAGATGAACTGAAAGATTATTTAGTGCACTAATTGCTGCACCAACTCATGGTAAGAATGGGATGTTGATGATGAATTTAAAAGATGAACTGAAAGATAATTTAGTGCACTAATTGCTGCACCAATTCGTGGTCATGCTAAGAATGGGATGTCGATGATGAATTCAAAAGATATGAATATGCAAATGCTGCATGAATTGCTGCACCAATAGGAAGCACACTTTCATCAATTGTATACTGAGGGCTGTGTGGAGGGTGTATAGCTCCTATCTTCTCATTATATATCCCAAGAAAAAAGAATGATCCCGGGACTCTGTCTAAAAAGAAGGCAAAATCTTCACTTCCCATGAAGCTTGGAGATACTTCTGTTTTTTCTCTTCCTACAATTTCCATAGAGACACGTCGAACACGTTCGTAAACGTTCTTGTCGTTTATAGTTGGAGGAATCGTGGGGTGTTCCTTGCCCATAAAATCAATCTCTGCGGTGCATCGATGCACCACTGCCTGCCCATTTATGACCTGCCATGAGAAGTGTACATAAAAGTTCAGTCACGAGGATCAGTGCCCAATTCATCTGTTTTGTAGAAGATCCTGATGTGGGGTTACCTCTTCTATCCTATCTCTGAGAGCATTGAAGCTCTCCTTGCTGAAAGCTCTGAAGGTACCAGAAATGGTGGCCGAATTCGGAATGAGATTGAGTGCAGTTCCTGCTTGAACCATAGCCACAGAGACCACCTGCAACTTTCAATTCTCCTTTAAGATGAAAAAGAACAAACGGCTGAATTGAATCCATTTGAGGCCTTTTTCATTCATGTTCATCTGAAAGAAAGTACCTGGGAATCTAAAGGGTCAATCTCTCTCGAGACAATGTTTTGGAGACTAATAATTGCTGATGAAGCTGCCAAAACGGGATCAATTGAATGCTGTGGGCTTGCTGCATGTCCTCCTTTCCCCTTTATCTTTGCTTTGAAGCTTCCACATCCCGCAAGAAATTCGCCGGGACGTGAAGCGACAACACCTGCCGGATATTTATGCACAAGGTGCAGCCCAAATATAGCCTCAACATCATCAAGAACGCCTTCTTTTATCATGTCTTTTGCTCCTCCTCCTCTCTCCTCTGCCGGCTGAAATATAAGAACAACAGTGCCCTGCATTGAAGGGGAACATGTTCGTTCATATTAACCAAAAAGGAAAAAGGGGACAAATTTTGAGTCCCATAATCATCTTCTTTCTAAACAAATGAATCAGAAGTTGTTGGAAGTGGGGAGTACTTGCAATGTATTTTGAGAACCTGTAATTTCTGTCGCAGTTGATGCAGAATCTTAGCAGCGCCAAGGAGCATAGCAACATGAGCATCATGGCCACAAGCATGCATTTTCCCCTTCACTTTGCTCTTATGCTCCCATTC